TGGGAGGCTGATTGGTTATGATGCTTTATTTCAGTTAATATAATTGCTTTATTTAACTGAAATCTCTTGACAAATCTGAAAATGAGATGAGAGTTGCAGAGAAAAGCAAAAGCTTGATTCAACGGTCATGGTGCTTATCCTCTTTTGCAATGATTCGAGAATATTCCCCAGTGAACTAGAGATGCTCTCAAGTCACTGAACTTTATGCAAAACATGTTATCGAGCCTATCAATGGATGCATAACACAGAGGACACTTGACTCTTGCAAAGTAAGGACATCCACCACATGTTCAAGGAAGTTTCTTAACCTCTCTTCATTTTCCATCATCTTTTATGTGAAAGTTGTCTCACTTGCATATGTTTCATGGTTGCAGATCTTTTAATCATTACTTTCACCCAGCCTTTTGGTTGCATTTTATATTGATACTCTACTGTTTCGATCATTTGACCATACTCATACTCTACTTTTTTCGGTCATTCGACCATACTGATACTCCACTTTTTCTGGTCATTCGACCATATTGATACTCTATTGTCATTCGAACATACTCATACTCTACTCCTTTCGGTCATTCGACCATACTCATACTCTACTCCTTTCGATTATTCGACCATACTCATACTTTATTGTTTTGGTCATTCGACCATACTCATACTCTATTGTTTTGTTCATTCAACCATACTAATACTCTGCTCCTTTCGGTCATTTGACCATACTCATACTCTACTGTTCTGGTCATTTGACCATACTGATACTTTACTTTTTCGGTCATTCGACCATACTAATACTTTACTTTTTCGGTCATTCGACCATACTAATACTTTACTTTTTCGGTCATTCGACCATTGTGGTTATATAACCACCTCAATTTAACTTGCTCGGTCGTTTGACCGTTGCAACCCAACTTGCTCGGTCGTTTTACCGTTGCTATCCCATTCGTTCGGTTTATCCGATCGTTGCGGTTTCTTAACCATTTTTACTTCTCTTGTTCGGTTTATCCAATCGTTGCGGCTTTTTAGCCATTTTATCTCATTCGTTCGGTTAAATCCGATCGTTGTGGCTTTTTAGTCGTTTTATCTCATTCGTTCGGTCAACCCGATCGTTGCGGCTTTTTAGCCGTTTATTTCATTTGTTCGGTCAAACCGATCGTTGCGGTTTTCTAACCATATTCTCTCATTCGTTCGGTCAATCCGATCGTTGCGGCTTTTTAGTCATTTTATCTAATTCGTTCGGTTAATCCGATCGTTGCGGCTTTTTAGTCATTTTATTTCATTCGTTCGATTAATCTGATCGTTGCTGCTTTCTAGTCGTTTTATCCCATTCGTTTGGTTAATCCAATCGTTGCGGTTTTCTAACCGTTTTCTCTCATTCGTTCAGTTAATCCGATCGTTGCGGCTTTTTAGTCGTTTTCTCTCATTTGTTCGGTTAATCCGATCGTTGCAGTTTTCTAACCGTCTTTTCTCATTCGTTCGGTCAATTCGATTGTTGTGGCTTTTTAGTCGTTTTATCTCATTTGTTCGGTTAATTCGATCATTGCAGTTTTCTAACCGTCTTCTCTCATTCGTTCGGTCAATCCGATCGTTGCGACTTTTTAGTCGTTTTATCTCATTCGTTCAGTTAATCCGATCATTGCGGCTTTTTAGTCGTTTTATCTCATTCGTTCGGTTAATCCAATCGTTGCGGTTTTCTAACCGTATTCTCTCATTCATTCGGTTAATCCGATCGTTGCTACTTTTTAGTCGTTTTACCTCATTCGTTCGGTTAATCCGATCGTTGCGGCTTTTTAGCTGTTTATCTCATTCGTTCTGTTAATCCGATCGTTGTAGTTTTCTAACCGTTTTCTCTCATTCGTTTGGTCAATCCGATCATTGCGGCTTTTTAGCTGTTTTATCTCATTCATTCGGTTAATCCGATCGTTGCGGTTTTCTAACCGTCTTCTCTCATTCGTTCGGTAAATCCGATCGTTGCGGCTTTTTAGCCGTTTTATCTCATTCGTTCGGTCAATCCGATCGTTGCGGCTTTTTAGCCGTTTTATCTCATTCGTTCGGTCAATCCGATCGTTGCGGGTTTTTAGTTGTTTTATCTCATTCGTTTGGTTAATCCGATCGTTGCGGCTTTTTAGCCGTTTATCTCATTCATTCGGTTAATTTGATCGTTGCAGTTTTCTAATCATCTTCTCTCATTCGTTCGGTTAATCCGATTGTTGCGGCTTTTTAGTCATTTTTTCTCACTCGTTCAGTCAATCCGATCGTTGCGGCTTTTTAGCCGTTTTATCTCATTCGTTCGATTAATCTGATCGTTGCGGTTTTCTAACCGTCTTCTCTCATTCGTTCAGTTAATCCAATCATTGCGGTTTTCTAATCATTTTTACTTTACTTGTCTAGTCATTCGACTAGTTTTACTTTATCTATTTAGTTAAAAAAACAAAAAACAAAAAAAAAATTTTTTTGAGTTATTCTTATTTTTTCTTTTCATTTTTGATAGAAAAAAAAAAGGGGGACAACTGTCATAAATCGAATTTTAGTAGAATTTTATTTTATTTTTATTTTTATTTTAACT